AGAAAGTGGTTCAGCAATCACCTCTGCCAGCTCCCTCAGCCCCCGTGGATGAATCCCATCGGGTCCCATGGATTTATGAACATCGGTGTTGTCAAGGTGCTCGCGGACCGCCTCCTCTCTGACTAAAGGGAAGTCTTCCATTCCCCCAGACGCTCTCACTAACATCCAGAGTCTGGGATTCCTGAGTGAGTGCTTTTTTCACTGAAGACAGAAGCAAAGAAGACACTCAGTATCTCTGCCTTCTCAGCATCCCCTGTTACCAGAACACCACCCTCACTTAGTAGGGGAGCCACATTCTCCCTAGTCTTCCTTTTACTGTTAACATACTTAAAAAAGCCTTTTTTATTATCCTTTATTAGCTTTGCCAGATTCAATTCCAGGCAGGCTTTAGCCCTCCTCGTTGCATCCCTGCAGGCCCTGACAACATTTCTAAATTCTTCCCAAGTGGTCAGACCCTTTTTCCACATTTCCACATGGATCTTCTTCTTAGCTTTGAGTGTGTGCACGAGCTCCTTGCTCATCCACACAGGTCTCCTGCTTTGTTTGAATGCAGTGCGCTGAAAATCCATTTTGAAGAAAATCATGTGAGAGTTGATACAGCTTTGCTGCTGTGGCTGTAACACTATTTTTTCTCCACATATAATTAATGTAAACTATAGCAATCTCTCAAACTTTCTTACTGATAAAGCTGATCATGCAATTTCTCTGTCAGGAAAAAAAAAACATGTCTGATTTCATTTCTGGCTTTGTGTATGAGACTTCTGTTTTCAACTGCACTTTTATAAAAGTTGCCTCTTTGTGCTGTGAAGATGAGTGTGGGAGGTATTTTCAGACAACTGAGTGTGCATTAGCAGGCTGTGTGAGGCATCTTTGGAGATTGTGTTCTGGCATCCTGCAACCTCCAGCAGGCTGCTCAGCTCTAGATGGGTTGCTTTGAGTATGTGCCATGAAGAAGATTTGTGATCAACTTGTTCCTGTGTCTAACCCACACAGGAAGAAAGTCTGTTGGTTTTTTCTCTCTTTTTTCTGGTATTGTTATTGTTTTGTTGTTGTTGTTGTTTTCCTCCAATTGTGTTATTGAGGAAAGCTTTTGTTACAATGCAGCAGATCTTTCCCAGGCTTTATTTGCTGTGATAGCTAGCTGTGTATTTTACGATAGAACTTCATGTCTCTTGTGCATTGTCATCCGTTTTGATATCTAACTCCTTCTATGACAGAAGATTTTCCAAAGAACAATGTATGTAGTAACAAGACATATAGTAGTGACATACATGTAGTAACGTATCAATCGGAACTAGAAATAAGGAAATTTAGACATTGTGATGCCTCATTCATTTTGACAATTTTGCCTTCCATGCTTAGATTTGATACTTGACACAAAATGCCTGACAATGCACAGAAACACTAATATTACAGTTCATATATCCTTTTTTTTTTTTTTTCTTTTTTTTCTTTTTTCTACCTTTCCTGTTCCTGGATAGTTCTGCTTGCATACAAGAAGCCTATTGCAGTCAAAGGTGATCTCCTGTATTTATGTAGGAAGAAGAGCAGCCAGGCTCTCAGTTCTTCAGCCTTCATGATTTGGTGAGAAAACAGATCTAGCAGATGAGATGAAATGGCTTTTTTCTTCTAGACAACTGTTACAGTATGCCACACAATTTGTCATACTACATCAGACTACCAGAAAACAGTTCAGTATGAATTATGTATCAGATAATAATTTTAAATAAGTTTCTAGGGAGTTATTTTTTAGCCTTTTAGGATTATTGAATTTCTTTTATGGATATAAAATCTGTAGCTCATGTGTGCCCTTCACAGAAGATATTAGCTTCAACTAATAAATTTATGAGGATGCTTTTTGTAACTGGCATCGTTCATGGTTCAGGAAAAATCAATTTAGTTTGAAATATTCATTAATGGAGAATGTGAATGGGTTGCACCATGTCGTGTAGTACATGGTATGAGAAGATATTTCCACTTTTAAGAAGATGTATGCTGGCTGATACGTAAAGCTTGTCTGTAGGCTTGACGTGATTGGAAATGTCCTGTACTTCTCAGAATCTTCTGAAGTATTTGTGAAGAGGAGGACCAGAGAACAAGGGACATTTGTAGAGTTTAATAACAGTAAAAAATTTCAACTAGAATGGCACTTTACATAAAAAGAGAGATCAATTCGCAATTACTACTGTATCGAACTGATCTTGTTTCAAGTGTGTGTGGCTTTTAGAAAGCATATTCCCTTGCACCTGTGCTAATTAGGATAACTTAGAAAAAGCAAATTCTTAGTCATCATCCTCCGAGCCGTTTTCAGTTCCGTGTTTCTTTAATCTTTTTTCCTTAGATGTGCTTTGGACTTGGCCTGTTTTGTTCAGCTCTCATTTCATTAACATATTTTCTGTTGTTATTTTTTTCTTAGTTTCTTAGTTCTTATTTAGCTCTGCTCTTACAGTTTATCATCTCTAACACTTCTGGTATTAATATTTGTTTGTGTCCTATTGCAGATTACTCTCATGTTGTCAGCTGTTTTTGTGAAATTATTGAGACTGAACATGCAGAAATAAAACATGGATTTTTGTGTAACTTGAATCGCATTTTTCATAGCTTCATTAGACCACAAGGAGTCAGGAATAACTACAGTGATAAAAGTAATCGTTTTTAAGTTATTGAGAATGCTACTGACTTTATGCAATCAGAGCTTTGTGGTAGATTTTTTTTTTTGATCACTGGTTAGAAAAGCAAACTTTTGTAAACACTCATGACAGTGCTCTAGCATTCTAGGTACGTCTGTACATGTATATTCTGCAAGCATCTCCAGTATCCTTGTAGCATTAGTTTGTTAACTAACTTGTATGTAAACTAAGTTTTTGTATCAGTAATTTTCTGTTTCTCGGTAGCATTCATATAGACCTTTAAATTTGTGCAAGCCTTGTGATACCATTTGCCATTGGTCTAGCCTGTTAGAATGTCTGAGTGCTTACACCAAAATTGGTTGTGTACCTTTTACTTTAGTGAAAACAAAAGACATGCTAAAGCTACCATATTTTTCATCACACCCTCATCATGAGGTTTCAGAATGTTCCTCAGCTTGGTACGTTATAAGTATTTCACTTCTTTCTGTGTTGAGAACTGATTAAAATGTTTTTGTCCTGAGCTGAAAGATGACATTTTTGTGTTTTTGTGATTAGCCTTACCTTTAAACAATAAATTATGCTAAAGCACATGTATGGCACAAGTGCTGCTGCTGTTTCAAATCAGGTAGAGGAAATTATAAAGCTAACTATTTCTTTTTATACCTAGGTTGTTCCAAAAGTAATGCCTCCTATTTATTTCCATGGAATTACAACAGATACAAGAGCACAATAAAACTATTTGGTATAGCACATTTGCAGTTACAGAACATTCTTTTTCAATGTAGCCACCACCACTGACTATGCATTATCCCCAGCAATGAACAAAAGCCTGCATGCTGCTCTCATAAAAATCTTCATGGCATCTGGAATGTGGCTTGTCCTTTCATGTCCTTGCTGCTGCTGTTGAAATGCACCATCTGCTGCCTCGCTGTGCTCACAGTGAGCATAATCCACTGTTTGGTCTTCAGAAACGTTCAGCAAGCTTAATGGGTGCCTTTTTTTTTCTTTTTTTTTTTTTCTTTTTTTTGCATGGAGGAATTCAGTGACACACCAATGCTTCATACGCATTTCTACATCAGACTCCATTCTCTCAGAGTGCCCTTCTGCTGCCATCTGTCACATGGCAACAAAATGTAGTGGAATATTGATGGGAAAGTTTGGCCTCTACTGCCATGCCACCAACATCTGCCCCTGACACTGTTGGCCAGCATAAGAAAATATGAGGCAGTTCTTTCAGAGCAGCTCTTGTACTATTCTTTTCATTTTATAATGCCATATCCTGAAGAACGGTATTTTTTGTACCAAAGGACATCTAAGTTACTGGGATGATCATTAGCATAAAAATTGTACGTAGTAAATCTTTCTGAAAGCTGTGAACACCTCTCCTAGGTACCTATCTTAGGTTTGTAAATTCTGCTTCTGAAGTTGCTGAAAGGAAGTGCTGGATTTAGTTGTAAGAGTCTGGAATACAGACTTTTTTTACATTGCTTGTCTTTATGAGACTAAATTAACTGAAAGCAGCTCAATTTTGTAACAGGCATCTTTACATTTGCTTTGCTGAGAGACTTGTAATCAGAGTTCCCACACTTCAGACAGTTGTGCAAGACATACTAGATACATACAGAGCTGCAAAGCCAAGAACAGGGCTTACATGGGAGCCAGACCTACACTGTGAAGCCACAGAACAGATTGATTTGTATGAAAGCAATGCTGTTTTTTCAAGATGTTTATTACTCATTTCTGTAAGAGATGTTCGGGTTTCTCAGACCTCATGTTGCATATTTTACTGCACTTTATTTGACTTAATACTAAACAGTATAGCTTTTTTTTTTTAATTCATGAAGTCTTACATAGGCTGAGCTGAAAATGATGGCAGCTATGGATTGTCTTGTGTATCTGTTACAGTTTTCCTGTGTTTCTCTTTCATCTCTTGTTCTGCAAAATGTGCAGCAAATACGTAGTAAGAGAATTTTGGTTTTTTTTCTCACTGTAGGGTATGCTAGTAGTGCATTTTGTACATTGGCATGTATTTTTATCAGTCTCTTGCATTTAGCTACTGAATAGCTTTCTGCATTTACTTTCTTGTTAGCTATTAAGTGCCTTTTTGTATTCTCTTCAGTAATTCTATACAAAACTAAAGGTGACAAACGCTTATTGGCCTCAGTCATTTCCTGTAAATTCTTCATGCTTGGAGCTGTCTGACAACTGAACTTCAGTGAGCTAAGAGTGTACACTGTAATTACACTATCTTTTTAAAATTCATGATCAGTCTCAGTGTAGCAGTGTTTTATGGGGATAATTCACTTACACTGTTGAAATTCAAAGCAGGATGAAATTAATAGAACTTATATATCTCAAAATACATTTCAGGCTCAGAAGACATAACAGGAAAACAAGAAGATATGGAGTTTTGGATACAAACATAGAAAACATGGAGCTGACACCACTAGAGCAAGATGATGATGATGATGATACAACACTATTTGATGCCAATCATCCTCGAAGGTTTGTATGTAGGAGCTGAATGTATGTCTACAAATAGAAATGAAGGTGTACAGATGATAAGAAGCTTGACTGAGGATGCTTAGTATTTTGTTTAATATGTGTGTAGTTGGAGACGTACTGTCAAAATAAATTGAATTTTTAATTTAAATTAATTTTAAATTTAGTAGGCAAGAGGGTGAGGTTAGTACTTCAGTTCTTGATCTACTCTAGAGCATGAACACCTTTGTCTTTGATTTTGTCTTTGACATATGAGTTCTAGAGAAAGTCAACAACTAATTTATCAGCTTTACACACTTCAATTATTCCATTCTTGGATATTTTACTCTTGTCACTTACTGAGTGTATAAGGAGATAGAAACAAGAATAATAAGAACAGAAGTATTGTTTAGGTCAAGGTACTTTACAGCTATAAAACAGTACACCTCTATTGGCAATTGATTTTAAGTGTTACTAAGGAAAAAAATTATGATGTAGTATTGTAGATTTAAAAAAAAACAAAAAAAGAACCAAAAAAAACAAAAAAACTGTCCTAATTTCCAAATGCTCAGCTTCTTTTAAAATTGAAGTACTGAGGCAAATTATCATGTCCTTTAGCTAAACCAAACAATTTGGAAATATTTGAAAGTATCTGATCCCCTGATCCAGACCATTTTTAGTATAATCGTTAGGATGACATATGATCTAAATAATTTGAATACATTAGAAGTATTTCATTTATCTGATGACATAGCTATTGTCAGATAAGTATTTATCAGTATCAGCGTATGAAATTCCTCACATACTATGTTACCTTCTTGATGAGAGAACTTCTACTATTTAAATACTGTTTATTTTAATAGTGTCAACTTCAGATGAAAACTAAAAATACCCAATGTTTTCACCCAAGCCCAAACACTTAGAAAAAGTGGGAAAAAAGTGGGATTATTTCTTTTCTGTGGGCCTGCAGAACAGCCTAAGATTTGATAGTGTTAGCTTACAGAAGAGGTGATGTCAAGATTGAGCCACATTGCAAGAAGAACAATTGTATTCAAGTAACTGAGTGTCCTGACTGAATTTCTGCATATGTTTCTGTTTAATTGCTAAGGGAATTTACTGAATAGAAGTACTACTCTCACAAGTGAATGAATAGAAAATCATAGAATCATTAAGATTGGAAAAGGCCTTTAAGACCATAAAGTCCAGCTATCAACCCATCATCACCATGCCCGCAAACCACGTCCCTAAGTGTCACATCTACAAATTTCCTCAGTACCTCCAGGGGTGATGACTCCACCACTTGCTTGGGCAGCCTCTTCCAACGCCTGACCACTTTTTCAGAGGAAAATTTTTTCCTTATATCCAACCTAAACTTCCCCCGGTGCAACTTTAGTCATTACATCTCGTCATCTTGTTGTTATCCAGGAAAAGAGACTGATCCCACCTTGCACAACCTCCTTTTAGATAGTTCTAGAGAATGATAAGGTATCCCTAGAACCTTCTCTTCTACAGACAGAACAATCCCAATTCCCTCAGCTACTCCTCATAAGACTTGAGGTTCAGGCCCTTCACCAACTTTTTTATTGTTTGGACACTCGAGCACTTCAGCGTCTTTCTTGTAGTTAGGGGCCCAAAACTGACCACAACACTGAAGGTGTACCATTGCTAAAGCTGAGTGCAGTGTGATTCTGCTTGTTCTGGCTACACCTATCCTGTGTAGGATGCTTCTGGCCTTGTTGGCCATCTGGGCACACTGCTGGCTTATGTTCAGCAGGCATCCCACATGATTTTCAGCTGTGCAGCTTTCCAGACACACTGCCCTAAGTTTCTAGCATTGTATGGAGACGTGACTGAAGTGCAGCACCTGGCACTTGGTTGTTGAACAACTGGCATTCAGCTTAAGAAAACGCTACTGTTTTTTCAGGAGTGCTCAGAAAGTAAGTGCTTAAGTGATGAAAGACAACATTTCTAAAATGGGAGATTGAGAAAGCAAATATTTTAAGTTATATTCCACACATGTATGTTGAAAGCTTGCTGTGTTCTCCTCTATATAGAGACAAGCTGTCAAAATTTCGCAAGTTATGTTTATCTTGAAATTTGTGCATAGGCGAATATGAAGAGTTGTGGTGGACAATCTGAATATGTTCAGCAAAACTGTCAGTAGTTCTTGGTAGAATACTGCTGATACTTTGCAAAGGGACAGCATTTCCAGGAAGGAAGCTTAAAAACTAATGTGGAGTACTTTTAAAATATATGTATGTATCAGTAATTGGAAATACACTTTTGTCAATTTCATTCATCCTGTTGTGTCTGCATGACAACCTGTGTAAGTTTCACACTGGGCAGCTAAGCTCCACACTGTTTACACAATCTCCTCAAGGAGAAAATATGATGAAGAGATGCTCACGCGTTAAAATAAGGACAGGGAGATTACTCTCAAATACAGGCACAAGCCAGACATACTCAGCTTAATCATAGAATCACAAAGTTGGAAAGGACGTACAAGATCATCTAGTCCAACCGCCCTCCCACCACCATTGCTACCACAAGCCTCTAAACCATATCTTGTACCTCTTCATCCAGACACCTCTTGAACACTACCTTCCTGGGCAGCCATCTCAGGAAGTGGCAGGTCCCTGTTGAACCAGCTGGAGCGGTGCTGCTCTAACATGGGGCACTGCTTGCCTAGGTGAACAGAGGCCAACCCTGTGGCCTCTCCTACTACCAGAACCCTGCCACATAGGCTCAGTGCACACCTAAATAATCACTGTTCCCTAATTAGGGAGTACAAAATGTGTAAGGAATCAAAACAACTGAAACAACTTGATAAAACTGAAACAATTTAATGATAGCAATACCTCAGATAATTTCAAATGATATTTTCACTTTTTCACAATTGCAGTGATTTGGAGCTTGTTTCTGTTTTTTATTTTAGAATAATGCAAAGACGCAGTCAGGTGTGGAGCAACTATGAAACTAGCAAGAGAGGTCTTGGGTAGGTTTTGATTTTAATCCCTGTGTGTCATGGGCAAATCAGTGTTGCAGTTTTGCATAACTACAGTTACTCAGCTTATTCAGTTCATAACTTTCTTATCGCCATAGATCAGAATGGAATGTATTCAAAAACTAAACACAGTCTCAGGAAAGTAGGTGTATAGTTAACACATTCTGGTGTGTCCATATGTTTTTCTCATAGACAACAAATTATGGAAGCAGTCACGTATACAAAAGAGTTGTGTGTTTCTGTATGACTTGCTGTAGACTGCAGTAGTATTCATTCTGCCTTGCTTTCTTTTCTAATTGAATCAACCAAGATCTTTTGTTTTAAGGTGTTAGTGCACAGTTCAGTACATTTTGTTAGAAAGTTTTAGGCCTGTTTTGTGTAAGCTGCTTTTTGACTCTTTATAAGGCAGAGCAGAGAAGCTGGTTTCACTCCTAAAATAAGCGTGGCTGTGTTAGTTGTTGTGCTGATATGGTAACTACCTTGTTGCAGTTTCCTTTCGTTGCTGTATGAAAAAAGCAGCATAGGTGCAACTTAGGTGTCTTACTCTTGTCACCAGTTTAGTGCTCTGTATACCGTGTTGTCTCTGTGCCTTACCTGAATCTTACCTGAATGTGAAGTTTTAACTCTTTTGTCCAGTAACTTACTGTTGCATGTCAAAATTTGAAATTCTGGCCTTTGGTTTCTCATCGTGCGTTTTGGCCTAGATACTGTCCCCCTAGAGGGACAGTCTTGCAAGCACATCCTTAGTTTTTGAAGCTGTGTAATACAAGTTTGTGGTCCTCATTAAATCACTTCATGCATGCAGTACTTGCTAGTTACAGTATGTTAATGAGAGTTAGCAAAATTTCAGTCTTACGCGGTGTTTAATCTCACAGACTGTATGTCTTACATATATGTTTGTATATATACATATGGTTTTAGTTTTGTTATATATATTTTATATATTTTTTTATATATGCATATAATATATAAAAACAAAACTGAAAAACATGGAGGTCTAATAACTATTTTGGAGGTTTAAATAAACAGTGTTTTGTGGCATTTCACTTCACTGTAATGTGGTAACTACCTGTTTTTATGAACAAATTTAATAATAAAGAGTTGCACCCTTTTTGTCTTAATGTTTGGTCTTTAAAAATGTAGAGTAACATTACCCTTGAAACAGCATTTCACATTAATGCATGTGTTTCTTCTGTTGTAGATTAGTACGTGCCTTGCAGTGAAATAACTTAATTCTTGAACCAGACGAGACTGCTTCACACGAGGAATAGGAAGCAAGAAGATGTGTAAGCTGGGGAGAGGCTAATTGAAACTTAGCATACTGCAGCATCCTTAGTTTGTTCCATAAATACTGTACCAATTTGTTGTACCTTCCTGTATATAGAGAATTGTAAAGCCTGAGGAGAGAGGGTGCACTAAAACGAAAACCTATTTGGAAGGGAGATTACTTTTAAAACAGGGTATTTTTTGTTTGTTCTAAATCTTGTATGCCGTAAGTGTGGTATACAATTTTTCTACAACAATCTGGAATGTTAACAGGTTTTTGGCTGATATTAAATTATAAGTAAACTTAACCTGTGTAGATTACTCAGAATTGTTATAACTCAGTTTTAACTGAGGAGATGCTTTACCCTTTGCAAATAAAAAGCCAAACTACTGCCTTTCACGTTGAGATTTTTTTTTTAACTAATAAAGTTGTTACGTGTAAGTTTAAGTGAAAAAATAAACCTGTTTACAATGTTTCTAGTATTTAGTGTGTTTTTCAGCACTATATAGATATTAAGGATATTACTAATAGGGTCTTACTAAAGATAGTAATGCCTCATCTTTTGCTGTTAAGTCAATTTCTTTGTAAGGGCTATCTTTAACTGATGTGAAACAACTCTTGCTCCGCTGACTTAGTGGTGTCAGCATTCAGACCTGTGATGAAGCAGACATCAGGACTTTAGGTAAAGTTCCTTACTTTTGCAGTCTGTATTCTTTTGTGCTTTAGATCTGGGGAAAATACTAAACTTGAACCATAACTCTAAAGTGATCAGAAGCAGCAGTTACTTTGAAATATGCAGTAGCATTCACATGAATGTAGTTTGTTTGTTTTCTTTAGCCAGGGTCCTAAAATTTAATGGAATAACTTTTAAAATAGAGAAGACGTGATTTTTTAAAAATGTTTCACATCCTACAATGCTCTTAAATATTATGGGTGAAATGTAGAAATTCCAGGCTGTTAAAATTACATTGGTGTAATTGTACCACTAATTTTGTACATCTAATCTCAAGGTATAAACTTGCAAACAGACTCTTTTTCCTGATTGTTCGGTCCCTTTTTGGAGGAGTATAGGAATATCTTCAAGACTACTTTTATAACAATGGGGAGTTGTCTGCCATACATATATATATATATCTTTAAAATTCTCTGCTAGCTGATTTGTACTGAACCCTATTTATTTTGCCATAGTGAAACCTTAGACTGGGTTTGAAGTAATCAGTCTTCCAAGCTAATGTTCATCTACAGTTTGCTCATGTGCCACAGTCTGCTGGGAAATACGTTGTATTTACAATAAATTGAAGTAATTTTATTTCCTCTCCTCTTGTACACATTTTTTTTTCCATCCATAGTTAAAGATAAAACTGAAGTGAGAACACAGACCTGATTTTTTTGATGAGTCTTAGCTGGGAAATCTAGAAAGAAATATTGCAAAAAATAGCTGTGTCATTGGCTGCGAGTGAGAGAGCAACAAGTTACATGGTAAAGCATGTTATTCCCGTTTGAGAAGGGGACCAACATCATTAAAAGGTCAGTGTAACTGCATATTTTCTAGCAGTGTTGCATGTTAAGCTTAGCAGTGGCGACCATCTTCCTGACTTCCTAGACTTGTTTTAATTCTGCACAATCTTTTTAAGCTTTGAGCTGAATGTATCCTGAAGAGCTGTTATGTTTGCCAAGCATACATACTTGAAATGTTTATGCGCGGCAGGGAATCTGGGAGTACTTAGTTTGTAAGCTCTTGTCTGTTCCAAGTAAATCTGGAGATTTTCCTGGAGGGAAAAAAAAAAAGTTATTTACATTCCTGAGCAAATTTTCCAGGTTTAAAAAAAAAGGTGGGGGATTAGTGCCATCACAATTATTAGCCTCTATTTTCTAGCATGAGTGGTTATATAAAAGTTACAAAACTGGTAATAAATTGAGACAATTGTGTTTTCTGGTATTCCAGATGCTATGTGTTTTGTGGTGCCTAACTCCTCAATGCTTTCCTGACCATATGTAATTTTAGGAGTTGAATTTGGCTGTCACTGGCACTAAGTTATTCTAAAAGGCTTGTATTGCACCTATCTTGGACATAACGGAGCAGCTGGAAATCTGCTCTAAATTTTATTTTATTTTGGGTTTTTTTTTGTTGTTTGTTTGTTTTTTAATTTATTTATTTATTTTGAGAGAGAGAAAGATTAAAGGGGAATTGTATGTCTGCATAATATTATGTCTGTGTGGTGGTTGGTAACGCAGTATAAAAGGCTTTCAATCTGTCCCAACAGTATGCCATGAAAGTCTTTTATTGAAGTGGTAACACATGCTCAGTGATACCTAATCTCAGAACTTTTCCATGTGTGGTATACTGAGCATTTGGCAGTGCTGGAACTTAAAGAGTGAAAGGAGCTTACCTGCTTCAGCTATACTTGATCCAGCCTATTTAGCATCTTCTTTGAGTAAGATGTTTGTGAAATAGTTTGATGTCATGTAGATCTAGTTTTCAGAAAACAGTATTTAGAGATGGGTCCTTTTCCTGCTGAAGCAACATGTTACTTGAATACAACACGTGTGTTTGCTGATTTCTCTGCTAAAATTTTCATCTGGCAAATAGTGAAAAGGTTGATATATATACTTAAACAGATTTTTTCCCTAAATGAAATGGAAGTGGGTTGTCAGATCCCACTTTAGTTGTTTGCTCAGTGATTGAAGCCTTATGCATAACTTTGCATTAAATTATTTTCCTGAATTTTAAAATTTTAAAATAAAAACTTTTTTTTTTTTTTTCCCCATCACCCCTTCCCTGAATAAACAATATTATTTACCATATTTTCAGCTTGAGTGCTCTCTCTACATAATGTGGAATTGAAGTCTTAGGATTTTGTAGCAACTTTAGAACCACACAATATTAGAAGCTAAGTATGTAGGAAACGTAATTTTAAATAAATATGAATAACCACATGTAGTACGCTGAGACACGACAGGATTAGGAGTTTTTAGCTCATTTTCACAGATAGGCAATGATACTGGGACTTATTTGCCTGAGCAGCTGTGGTGTTTCTGGTTCCAGTGTTACACAGAAGTATCAGAGCTCCTGTGTGCAATACAGATGTAACTAAAGCATTTATAGTCCTCTGGATATGAACACAGAGAATGATTAAGAGTTTAGTTGATGACCTTGCCTACTCTGACTGTCCTTCAGAAAACCTCTTAAATTCATCTGGTTTGCTACAAGTTTCAAGAAAAGGAATGGTAAGGTAATAAATATGGCAAAGTTTATTATAAAATGTGTTGCTCTTTATTTTGAGTTTTAATGTGCAAAATCACATTGCCCTTAATGGAGATGTATCTGTTATCACTATCTAAAAACTGAAATATTTCTCTCAATTTATAACAGCATAGTCCTTATGTAATCATAGAATCGCCAAGGTTGGAAAAGACCTCCAAGATCATCCAGTCCAACTGTCCACCCATCACCAATATTTCCCACTAAACCATGTCCCTCAGTACAACACCTAAATGTTTCTCGACTCCTCCAGTGTCGGTGACTCCACCACCTCCCTGCTCAGCCCATTCCAGTGCCTTCTTTCTCTTTCTGAGAAGTAATCCCTAACAACCAGCCTGAACCTCTCAAGGCTCAACTTGAGACCTTTCCCTCTGGTCCTATTGCTAGTTACATGGCAGAAGAGGCTGACCCCAGCTCACCACAACCTCCCTTCAGGTAGTTGTAGAGAATGACAAGGTCTCTCCCCTGAGCGTCCTCCAAGCTGAACAATTCCAGTTCCCCCAGCCTCTCCACAGAAGACTTGTGCTCCAAACCCCTCTCCAGCTTCATCGCTCTTCTCCCCAGGGCCTCAGCACCTTTCTGTAGTGAGGGGCCCAAAACACAGTACACAGTACTCGAGATGCAGCCTCAGCAGGCTGCGTACAGAGAGATGATCACCTCCCTGCTCCTGCTGGCAACGCTATTTCTGATACAAGCCAGGATGCCGTTGGCCTTCTTGGCCACCTGGGCACACTGCTTGCTCCTGTTTAACACAGCATTAACTAATATCCCCCGGGCCCCTTTCCTCTATACAGTCTTCCAGCCACTCTGCCCAAAGCCTCAAGCATTACCTGGTGTTACTGTGGCTAAAGTGCAGGACCTGGCCCTTGGTCTTGTTAAGTTTCATCCCACTGGCCTCAGCCCAGTTTTTCAGCCTGTCCAGATCCCTCTGAAGGGCCTTCCTATCTCCAGGCAGACCAACACTTCTTCCCAACATGGTGTCATATGCAAACTGACTGAAGGTACACTCAATGTCCTCATCCAGGTCATCAATAAAGGACAGGTCCCAGTACCAACCCTTGCACAACACCACTTGTAACCAGTCACCAGCTGAATGTGACTCGATTCCTCACCATTCTCTGGACCGAGGCATCCAACCAGTTCTTTACCCAGCAAAGAATACACCTGTCTAAGTGAAAGGTTGCCAGCTTCTCCAGGAGAATATTGTGGGAGGCAGTTTTGAAGGCTTTGTTGAAGTCTGGGTAGATTATGTCAGCAGCCTTTCCCTCATTGACATGGCATCACTCAACAATAGGCAGAGATCAAGCTGGTCAAGCAGAACCTGCCTTTCATACAATCAATGATGATCAATGTATGCTGTCTAGAACCCCAAGTTGTCTAGCACATGCTGTGTGATCTCCCTCAAGATGATTTGCTCCATAACCTTTCCTGGCACTGAGGTTATGCTAACAGGCCTATACTTCCCCAGATTTTCTGTATGACCCTTTTTGTAGAAGAAAGTCACGTTGGCAAGCCTGCAAACCCCTGGGATCTCTCTAGTTGACCAGAAACGCTGATACAGAAAGTGGCTTGGCTGTCATCTCCACCAGCTCCCTCAGCATCCTCTGGTGGATCCTATCTGGTTCCATAGACTTCTGACAGACCACGTAGAGTAGCAGGTCTCTAACTGCTTCCACCTGAATTATGGGTTGTTTATTCTCTCTCGTCTCAGACTTCCAGGCTAGGGCATAGAGAACCCGGAGGATGATTGTTCTGACTTTCAACGACAGATAAAAAGAAGGCACTTAGAATCTCAGCCTTTTCCTCATCATCAGTTGTTATATATTCCCCTACATCAGTGAGGATGGAGATTCTCCTTAGCCCTCCTGTTAGCGTTAATGTACTTGTAAAATAGTTTGTTATCATAGAATCACAACATTGGAAAGGGCCTAGAAGATCATCTAGTCTGACCATCCTCCCCACTACCCTTGCTACCACAAACCATATCTCATGGCTCCTCATCCAGATGCCTCTTGAACACTGCCAGAGATGGAGAATCCACCACCTCCCTTGGCATGCCATTCCATTGTCTGACCACTCTCTGAGAGAAAAAGTTCTCCCTTATGTCTAACCTAAATCTCATCTGGTACAACTTGTGGCCATTTCCTCAGGTCCTGTTTGTTGCCTGGGAGAAGAGGCCAAACCCCTCTTCATCTTCAGGATGTTCAGGTTCAGGATCCTCATCTTCCTCCTCCTCCCTTCAGGAGGTTGTAGAGTGCAATGTGGTCTCCCCTGAGCCTGCTCTTATCCAGACTAAACAATCCCAGCTCCCTCAGCCACTCCTCATCAGATTTGTGCTCCAGACCCCTCACCAGTTTTGTTGCCCTTCTCTGGACACATTGAGTCCCAGAGCCTCAGTGTCTTTCTTGTAGTGAGGAGCCCAAAACTGAACACAATACTCGAGATGCGTCCTCACCAGTGCTGAGTGCAGGGGGATGATCACCTCCCTGCTCCTGCTGGCCACACTGTTTCTAATGCAGGCCAGGATGCCGTTGGCCCTCTTGGCCACCTGGGCACACTGTCGGCTCATGTTCAGCCAAGCATCAACCAACAACCCCAGGTCCTTCTCTTCACAATCATCCAGCTACTCATCCCCAAGCCTGTAGTGCTGCATAGTGTTATTGTGGCCAAAGTGCAGGACCTGGCACTTAGCCTTGTTGAACCTAAGCCCATTCACGTCAGCCCAGAGATCCCTCTGAAGTTGATCTAGATCCTTCTGAAGGGCCTCCATCCTCAGGCAGATTGGGACTGCCTCCCAACTTGGTGTCCAACTTGGTGTTATTCTCTTTTACCCCAATAGCCAAGTTTAGTTCAAGCTGGGCTTTTCCCTTTCTAATTTTCTCCCTGCACATCCTAACAACCTCTTTGTACTCTTCCAAGTGGCACATCCCTTCTTACATTGGAGGAAGATTCTCTTTCTCTCCTGGAGCTGCAGGAAAAATCTCCCTGTTCATCCACAGCAGTCTTCATCCCTGCTAGCTCATCTTGTGGCACAGGGAAACAGCCTG